AGAGAGAGTGTTTTTAATATTTTTTATTTTTTAGTTCTCGGTGGACACAACATCTTTGTTGGTATGTGGTGCTGAGGATCCAACCCGGGCCGCACGCACGCCAGGCGAGCGCGCTACCGCTTGAGCCAAATCCCCAGCCCTGTACAACAGACTTTTACTTCTTCCTTTCCAAACTGAATGCCTCCTATTTCTTTTTCTTGCCTAATTGTCTTGACTAAGAATGGTGTGATTGTAGACATTCCTGACTTGTTTCTGCTTTTAAGAAAGCTTGCAATTATTAAATATAATGTTAGCTGTGTAGGTTTATTATAAATGTTCTTTATCGGGTTGAGGAAGTTTTCTTCTGTTCTTGGTTGAGTTTTTTTTTTTAATCATGAAAGCATGTTCACTTTTGTCAAATGCTTCTTCTGCATCTATTGAGATGATCATGTTTTTTTAAAAATTCCCTTAATTCTAGGAATATGGCGTATCGCATTGATTTATTTTGCATGTGAACCAACCTTGCATTCCTAGCATAAATCACAGTTGGTCATATGTATATTCTATTTTTAATTGTTTATTTTAGGTCATGTTTGAGGCTTAATGATGAAATAGAAAAAATCTTCAAGAGTTTTGATTGTGTGTACTGTTTCATCCTGAAAAAGGCATCAACTTTCATGAGGATTAAGTTTATTTTAAAAAGTTAAAATAAACTAAAATTTTGCATGCCTAGGAATAGGTTGAAAAAGACCCATTCTCTTTGTAATATATAGAGTAGCTATTTTATCACTGTACTAAGAGCTCAAATGATTTTTATAGAGTAGAAGAGAAGCTAGCCCCTGCTCTAAAGAGCTTATGAACTGTTTTGAGAGATAAAATAGATAAACTTATAATACAAAGACAAATGTATGTATGCATTTATACCTTTTATGTGTACAGAGTATGGTACAATTGGATATATTTAAATCCAAATAAAGGTCTTTCAGATTCTGTAACATTTGAACTTAGGACCAAAAAAATAGTAAGCTGAAATACAGTATGCTGGACTTTGTGAATACTCCTGACGATTGGTTAGTACCAAGTCAAAAAGAAAAATGTCAACAGAAGCATAGTATGTTTTTTTTGTTGATTA